GTAACTATTTTAACGCAATGGTCAAATATTAAATATGTTTCAGCAAGGTATTGTACATTACATTGAAGTTAGTCCAACCAATGAAAATTCCTTATTTTATCTGTATAAATAAACGTAAATATGTGTGTGTGTATCTGCTCCTTATACGTCTCCACATTTCTTGATCAATCAGCATCAATGATATAGGATGACATGAGGAAGGTCATGGGGGGTTGGACCCCCCCCATTTAATTTCATATCAATTTCGGAAAAACTACCAATTTTTGTATACCCCCCATCATTAGAATGAAATATATAACCACTATTGCTAAAATTCTTAAAAACAATATGTCTTTCTTTTCAGTATTGGTAACTTTACGTATTTTTAATGTTTATTACGTTAAGAAAAATAAATAGAAGCCCAATTTCCTATCTTTTGTTTCAAACGAGTTTTTATTTCACCAGTCCAACGGACGGATACTCTAGCTAGTATGAAATATTTTACATTGTTAATATCACACAATCATGTACATATATGAAATTTTATGCGCAATTTTTGATAAATATTTTCAAATCAAACTTCAAGCGAAAAGAAATGTATGTATTCTACAAGTAATTTTCAGCTAATGGCTGCATTTCACTTGAACATAATGTCCACTCTCCCAAAAATAGGGCATGTCACTGACGTATTAGCTTTTATCACCCCTAGGCCCATTAGGAAGTGTCGTTCTCGTCCTCCTTGGATTGTACATGGTCTCAACCAAGAGGTATAGAACTTTTTTTTTGTCCCGGCTAGTGAAAATGGTTTTCTCGGGGTACTTCTCCACCCCTCACATTTTCTCTATTGTTTATAACCACTGTTCTCGACTTAAACTAAATTAACTGGCAGGGGATGCTCGAAGATTGAGCAATCTTCCGTCACCTGGCATGAGGCTTATGATTAGAAATTAGCACGTGGTAAGGGCGATAAGGCTGTTACAAGCTAATTGAGCTTACTGTTACAGAGCTTTTGAAAAAAAAAATTGAAGCTGACAGGCACACGTGAAGGCAAAGGCGAAGTTAGGGCAAGTCGAGGTGCTGGAGAAGAGGGTAAGTCGACAACTGACAAAGTATTCCAACAAAAGGGCCTTGTTAGGGCCTGGCAGGGATCAGTAAGTTCAAGTGCCAAGGCTGGGATCTATAGATCCAACGCCCAAGGAAATTTGGTGGTGTGGGGAGGGGGGAACGGGTGGCATAAAGTGAAGGGTCGCGAATCTTATTATCAACAGCTACTTATTAGTGTTATATTCGCTAAATATTTTTATTCACTTCAAAGTTTTTTGTTTAGTTTTTTACACGGAAATATGTCGCAAGCTGATGGGTATCTCTATGGATCAGCCAATGTTCGAAGTATTTTTTTTTATCGGGTAACAAGTAATCATAATTTTATTAGATTAAATCAATTACAAAATTAAATTATATGGATTTATATGAACTTCCCATCAGACCAAGTTACCTACTTAGAGTAAGACTAAAAATCAACTTGGTAATGAATATAGTCAAACATATTTTTCTTACGTTCTTGTTTATAAAGATTATAATACAATGTTTACATCATTTGGGGACCCTCGCTGTTAGCAATATTTCAAAAATTTACAGAATAGTTTTTTCAGCATAAATTAAAAAACGTATAATCTACGTCTTTTTATTACAGACGAACAAAAGTAGACATGGAAGAAAGAAGACATCTTTCTCAGCATATTTTTAGTTATGTATTCAAGATAAACGCAAAAATGATACTTTGGACGGTAGAATTTCGGATTTCAGATCTGTTAAGCTAGATATGAATCTGTGCGATACCACAAAGTATTCCCTGCACTTTAAACTGTGAGTGCGTTGTAAGAGTGTGACAGTTTGTTTGTTTTGAATTTCGCGAAAAGCCACACGAGGGCTATCTGCGCTAGCCGTCCCTGATTTAGCAGTTTAAGACTAGAGAGAAGGCAGCTAGTCATCACCACCCACCGCCAATACTTGGGCTACTCTTTTACCAACGAATAGTGAGATTGATCGTCACATTATAACGCCCCCACGGCTGAAAGGGCGAGCATGTTTGGTGGGACGGGGATTCGAACCCGCAGATTGCCAGTCGAGCGCCTAACGCCCCCACGGCTGAAAGGGCGAGCATGTTTGGTGGGACAGGGATTCGAACCCGCAGATTGCCAGTCGAGCGCCCTAACCACCTGGATATGCCGGGCCCAAGAGTGCAACATTAAATTCCTTAGCATGTTAAGTTGCTGCCTTCCCTCTGGTCAGTAGTTCAAAGTTAGGGACAATGGCAAGTAACCTTAGTAGCTTTGCCATAAAAGCAATACCATACGATACATTGTACTACTAATTGCTACATTCTTCCGTGGCTAAAAGCTGAAAGATCACGTTCACAGTCATATCAAGATAAACTATCAGAATATGTGAACAATTTCACATATTATTTTCATGATTGATAATTCTGAGATTAAAAAAATGCTTTCAGTATTACTTACTTCATCAACAGGATGTAGAGAACGTATCCTATCAACATAATGAGCGATTCATACCACGTCACTGTCTTATCGTAGATAATCTGTTCGAAAAATAACATTATACATGAAAACAGGTTACTTTCTTGATCAAGGACGACATGCTCTTCGTCCACAAGGCAGAATACATGAAAACACAAGAGCTCTAGGTTTTAAAATCAATTTCAATCATATTAAATTAATGTTTAGTAAAAATCCGGTACTTTTCCGTTATACCCCCCGCAAATTTCAATAACTTTTCCGTTATACACCCGCAATTTTAATAACTTGAAAAATATATAAATATACATATATATATTTATCTATATATACATATTCAAATATATAACTTTGAACTTTATTCTTATAATACATATCCGTAATAAATTTCTAAAAATATATTAATAAGCATTGTATTCATATGGTAAATAAACCCATCTGCAGGGGGTATAACGAAAATATACCGAAAAACCTACTGAACAGTATTGGCTAAGTATTCATTACTGTTTCATCTCTTATAACTAATTA